CAGGATTAGATTTTAGTTGCTACTGCCTGTTTCCATGTGGACTCATAGTTAATGGGGCAAGACCACGGGGAAAAATGGATAGTTTAAGCCAATAGTTGGGTATGGTCACCCCCACACTAGCCTCCACTATCATGAGGCTTGTCTCTAGTCTCAGGGTGGTATTAGATACACATTTTGGGACTCAAAGGGCCAATCTTAAAATTTAGATTGTACAAGTTCTAATGGTGCAAAATTGGAGAAGGGGCCCAGCTGGGCACCATAAAGAAGTTGTGCTGTAACTTGGCTTCAAATAATTTGAGTGCTGCAGGAATATAGTGGCCACCTCTTGTCTTGAGGAATTTAAGGATGGCAGATGAGCTCCCCTGTGCGTTTTCAGCAACATAGTCCCTGTGGGTGTTCCTACTGCCGGCAGAATGAAGGACTACCCCCAGGTATTTGAAACAGGAGAGCTGCTCAGTCTTGTGGACATCAATGCTCCAAGAGTAGCTCTTGGGCCTTTTAGCAAATGCCATGATTTTAGTTTTCTGATAATTGAGTTCTAGCTGGTCTTCTTTGCAGTACTGTGTTAGTGCTCTCAGTGCTCTTTTAAGGCCAATAGATGTTCTTGACAGTATTGCTGCATCGTCTGCATAGAGTAGAACAGAAATAATAAAAAAAGCTTGAAAATAAATTCACAGACACTTGCAATTGAAGCAGTCAACTTTTCTGTGTGGCACTTCTCGGCTAAGATCAGATGTGTGTGTGTAACTTTCTGGTGTGCCTTATGCAGAGTTTTCATGTGCCTGGCTCCTGTGTCTGTGTTGTTTTGTTTAGCTATGGTATAAAGAGAGAGAGAAATATGATTTCCAGAACAATTTGTATAGTAAATAATATAATGAATCAATAGGGATGATAAAATCTACAAGGGTTGCATTTTCTTTCAAGGACTTTCAACAGCAGCACTGCTGCTTTGTCCTCAAGTGCTAGTTGCTGCTCTGATGAGTACCTTAATTTTTCAGGTACACACTATTCTTAAATGTCAGTTCTACCTCCAGGTCAATAAAGGAGTTTTTGTGGTGGTTGTTGTTGCAACTAAAAAAAATCAAATTCAGTAGAACATATTAAACCAAATAAATAATATTATCTAAGGGCTATATAATGCAGAATCATTAAGAATTTTTCACTTCATGTGTGGTCAGAATCCAAGTATTACATATAACATGGCCCTTTATTTGAACAAAACAGTACAATTGAGAATTGCCTATGTGGATTTGATTAGGGTAAATTGTAGGGATGATACAGAAATAGGATTTGTATTTCCTTTTAGTTCTGCCTTTTACTTTATTTTATTACACACGGCCTTATTTAAAGTATTACTATTATTAAGAATCTTTCATCATCCAGAATTATTCAGCTAGATTTATGTTGTACTGTATGTATTACTAACTTTTTGGTCTAAGTGTTTAATCTTCATATTCAATATATATGTCTTAGGTCAATGGTGATTTTAATTTTAAGAAGTTGGGAAATGTACACTTCTCAAACTGTAGATCAACAAAGGGTGTGGGCATATGAATATTGTATACATATAATTATCAGTTGATTGGAAAAAATAATATATTGTGAGATAATGAGTAACCTGGCATAACTAAAATCTTCCTCCATTTAGTTATGTTCATTAATTTACTCATTCCAGGTTTATATTTTTCAAATAAAAAATAACATTATTGGGTTCCTTGTCTATAGATTCCCAGTTCTTATTTTATAACAGAAGTAAATCTTTAATTGTCCTTTTGGTGAGCTTAATACTCTATTATTATTTTTAAATATGCTGTAAGAAGGTACTTAAACAAAAGTAAGGCACACCTCAGACAGAACTATAATATTAATTATTATTCTGTCATTCTAAGAAAGCGAGATTGAAGATTTTCTGTGTGGACATAGGCAAATTTAGACATAAGGTAAATATTCCCTCCAAACCACCTGACTGACTTTGACAAATAGGTTTATGTATCCTAAATCAGTAATTAATTTGTAATAGTTTGTATATTAAAATATACTATCAGTTTATATCCTAAATATGAATTTTATTATTGCCCTTTTTTTGGCATTAAAGCAGTTTGGGAAATCAGATGATGAAGAACTCTTAACCTAAACAGTAATTATTTCATGTATATGGTTTACCTCTAGAGCAAAGAAAGCAAAGAACTCAATAGATAAGTCAACAGAAACTGACAATGGGTATGTCTCCCTTGATGGAAAAAAGACAGGTAGAAACAATGAAGATGTTTTACAGTTCCATGAGCCGCCCTGTGAGGTTATCAGATCAGAAGAGACTGGCTGGAATACTGGAACTGCAAGAAATACATACAATACTTCGAATCATAAAGTGAGTGCTGTATTTTGTGTTCTGGTTATTATTTTAGGGAAGCTAAGAAAGTAATAATGCAATGGGAACAGGCGGCAGGATTTCCTGCTTTTATTGTTTTTCCTTGATTTTTGGATTTACTTTTTAAAAATATCTTAAACCTATTTTATGACTTACACGTAGCGTTCTGAGTCTGAAAATGACAAGTAACATTGCTAATGATTTTCAGCAACTGATCAGGAGCTACAAGTGGCAGTAAAGGGGTTCAGATACAGGATATAGCTCTTGCCCCTCAAATTACACCCCTGCTTTACAACACACCTGATGATTCGGCACCTGTATTTTCATATTTTGAACCATAAAAATTGCTGTGCTGGGTGACACCCAAAGTCCTTTTTGTTCAACATTCAGCCTCACGCACTGGCACTTTCCACTTTGTTAATGGTTTTGATCATTCCAATTCTAGTCAACATTTGTCAACACTCTTATTTTTCCTACAACCTATCCCTTAATCTGTCTTCTATAATTGGAGACCTTTGCCTGGTCTATATAATTACATGAATCTTGAAAAACTCCAGGCTTTGATTCTGTCACATTTCATTTTTTTATTCATACCTTTGGCAGGGTAGAGTAATGCCTGAGCTCGGGAAAAAAAGTCTGTTCCCTGCTTTTCAACCAAATAGGAATAATAGAAAATAAAGGCATAATCAGACAATATGCTTCTTTTCTATTTAGTAAGTTCACTGAACCAATCAGTTAAAAGCATTTGTTCCATACCATTTGAAATCTTGTTTTCAAATGGTAAAATATAATGAAATCGTAGGTGAGGCTTTGAATATGACAATAGTTTTTCGTGTTGCTCTTTGCCCACCTTTCTTATGCTAAGATCTTCATTGAATTGTGCAATTATGTGCCACATGAATGATGCATGGTTTTACAGAGTGTAACAAAAGACAATAAGTGTTTTACTGGACAACTGTTTGGTTTTAGCAACTTCCATATCCAAACCAAGAATCTCTTCTATCTCTTTGAGTTTGCTGTTGAATATATCTTATATTTTCCTCATTAATGCTTATAAAGTAGATGTTATTATCTCATTAGTAATTATCAAACAGTATAGGATTATCAAAATCATACAATTTGTATTGTTTCTCCATACGTGTTTATACGAAAAAGAAAACTGGGTTCATGAAACATGGAATTAATCAGGAAACAGGTTGCAGGGGAAGTAACGCGAATGCACTCCTGCTGGTCCACCCATCCTCTTTGGAATGAAGTATGAAGAAGGCACTGTAGAAATGTGCAAATGAGCATTCAAGGATGCTTGTCAAAATAACTGCATTATTTGAAAAAAATTGTTTGGTGGGCTGATTTGCACTCTGAACATTTTTCTTAACATTTTCTCTAGAATTGTATATAAAAAGTGGATAAATTATATGTTGTGTACCAGTGGAGGAAGAATATGCCTTATTTATAAATGTAAACATGTCTGGAAAAGAAGAGTGTTTTAAATTAAAGATGTGTATTTTATTAACAGTAACTTCTTTATTGGTCTAGGACAGTCACAGAACAATGACAAACGTATCTGATGAAGTTTCTAGTGAAGAGGGGCCAGAAACTGGCTATCCTTTGCGACGGAACGCAGAACGTGCTTCCAGTGATGGGACATTTCGAAACAAGAAATCCCATCATTATAAGAAACATTACCCTGTAGAGGTAATGCCTTGTATTGTTGCTGAGTAAACTTTCATGCAAGTCAAATTTGTGCATATGTCTTGGGGCATGTGTGTGTGAGATGTGTATATAAAAAGACTGTTTCCCGTATGAATCTCATTTTTATATATCTACAGTATATATTTATTATTGAAATGTTAAAATACAAGAATATAGAAAAAGGGTTCTTGAATGAATCTCTTTATCCATTCAACAGAGAGCAATACTGTTGCTTAAAAACTAACATCGGTTTCCATGACAGCAAGACATCATGTTTGCCACAGAAAAGTTAACACAGCTACCTCCCCACTCCAGAAATTAGATGCGCATATACTGATATGGTTTAACTGTAATATATTTCCCAATACCATAAATTGGAAGAAATTAAAGTAAGATCATAAAAGGCTGGTCTAATAAAATATCAGTGCACCATTGACACAAAATTGATACTAAAGGAATATAAAAGGACTTTGAGAATTGGCTTTAAGAATTATAGGAGGCCAGATAGGTATCTATTTTAATGTTCACTAGTATGCATGTTTGTTTCCTTTAGCTGTTAATCAGATTGTTTCATTCAGAACCAAGAAAGAGAATGGTTAATTACTTACATTGTATACGCTCTTTTACAATAGATTATGTTAAATGTCACTCTGTGCAGGTGAAATATGTACGTATTGGTCATTTAGTTTCAGTGCTTTATCACTTTCTCATGCATGTAAGAAACCATTTATAAAAAAAAAAAAGTAAAAGGATGCATTGATTGTGGCTGACGTTATCTGTCATGGTCATTATAAATCCAGCTCAAATTGTTCTGATCTTAGCTATCCCTCAGATTGTAGCCTGTGGTTTTCTCCATTTAAAATTCATGTTTAACTTATAATTTCCCAAATCCTAATGGCTTTGAATTCGATTCTTACAAGTGTACATTGATTTGTATAAACTTACACTTGCAAAAATGTTGGGGTCAAGGATTGTTGCCACTGACTTACTCTGGGGAGAAAAAATTAAGTTTCTAACTAGAGATAGAGCCTATTCCTTTAAGAATATTAGCAGACAGTTGCCTTTAATAAGACATGTTCTGTTAATACTAATTCTGAAAACTAAAAAGCATTTGTAAATTAAATAATAGCTAATAATTCTAAAGACTACTTTTGTATAAACCAGGTTATTCTCTTCAGTTCACCGTCAGAGATTGTTCTAGTCATGCTACATTTGGCAGAAATATCTAGAGTGAAGATTCAAAGAGGGGTCCTCTCTTCTATGGCCTCCAGTCTCCTGCAGTGGAGATTGGAGTGGCATCTAAGAAGCAGATGTACCTGATACTTAGCACTCATTCTGTTGAGTGCAGGAAGTTTTGCGTATATTCATGTTTTCCTTTTTTTGGTTTTATTTTAAACCCACCTGTTATCTTTTATGATTACATGAAGTTCAGAGATACTTTCATAAATAAGAAACACACATTTTGGGGGTTTGTACAGCAGAAGAGCCTTAGCTTTTAAAAAAAGACCTCTAGCTTGTCTTGGATTATGATTTTGGTTGGCTCTTCATAATAATGAATGCATGATAGCATTATACGGCTATTAATGTATATCTTCAGGATGTCCCTAAATCAGGCACTAGTTGCAGTTCACGATGTTCAAGTTCCAGACAAGATTCTGAGAGCACAAGACCAGAATCAGAGACTGAAGATGTACTCTGGGAGGACTTTTTGCACTGTGCAGAGTGCCGCTCATCCTGTACAAGCGAGACAGATGTGGACAATTCTCAGGTCAATTCATGTGTGAAGAAGGAATATAGGGATGACCCATTTCATCAGGTTAGTAGAAGAATAAATGACATGTAACTTACCAAATCTGTCATAAGCTATAATTTTTGCTGAATAGTTACATGCTATTGATAATGTAATTTTTGTTAGTATTTGTTTACACAACTTTCTATGTCCTTTTTTTGTTTGTTTTTTGCAGAGTCATTTGCCCTGGTTCCATAGTTCTAACCCTGGGCTAGAAAAAGTAAGTGCGATCGTTTGGGAAGGCAATGATTGCAAAAAAGCTGATATGTCAGTGCTTGAGATCAGTGGCATGATAATGAACAGGGTGAGTATGTTTTTAAATATTAGGATTTGTCTCAAATATGATGCTTAAAATGCTCTAATTTAAGTTTATATATTGTTGCTGTTTTTTATACTTAGGCTTGTTGTTCAACCAAAGAAATGGGCCTGATAGAGAATGGTTTAGTGATTTTCTAGAAGTTAATCTTCCGAATCACAGATTATATTGATGATGTTCAGGAAGCTATTAAAGACCTGGCTATTCTCCCAGGCTCTGGGATGAACCCCTACTGGATTGGGTTTTGGGGTTGTTTGTTGTTTTGGGGGCCATTCACAATTCCTTTTTTGTGTTTTATAATTTTGTGTTTTTAATTGTAAGCCACCCAGAATTGTTGGGAGTCAGGCAGCCTATAAATTATATAAAATAATCCTTGGAGAAGGTTGAGTCATCATGGTCCAGAGAAGAAACTGAATATTCCAGAAAATGATTCTTTTCCTGGAACTGTAGGTTTTGCACATTCCTAGTGGACATCATTGTACATGGCTATGAAAGACTATAACTTCAAATGTGTAATATGAGCAATGTTTCACAAGTTTCAGGAATACTGGATTAGGTACAAAGATCCTTGTGAAAGGAGAAATGCCTAATTTTTGCTGAGTATCATCTCCAGCTGCTCTCTGCTTCACCATATCAGTACCAGAATGGACTTTTGGTGAGGAGCAAGGGGCTTTAGCAAGAAGGAGAAGATAAGAAAAAAATCATGGGTTTCAACACATTATAATTTTCATAACTCTAATATTTTTTATTTGCTAGATATACTGGCCCTAAAACCCTGTAAATGCCATAGAGCTTAATGATTGTTCTCGCTTTAACTTTTGCACTTTCATTTAGCCTATTTCAGAATTCCTTTTTAATCCACTTCATAGAATAGGATTTGTTAAAATGGATGGAATTATAGTCTTTGTTTTGTTTTCCATCTTTAGGTGAACAGCTATGTTCCAGGAATAGGATATCAGATTTTTGGAAATGTTGTGTCCTTAATCCTGGGATTAACACCATTCGTATTTAGACTTTCACAAGCAAAAGACCTGGAGCATTTAGCCACGCATACTGCTACTGAACTTTATGCTATTGCATTTGGGTCAAATGGAAATGTAATGGTGATTTCCATGGTTATTGTGTGCTTTATAGTCCGTGTTTCCCTTGTATGGATCTTCTTCTTCCTTTTATGTGTGGCCGAGAGAACTTACAAACAGGTATATGTTAGCACCAAACCTTTCAACTCTTGTTTTTGAGGAAGAGAATTGACATACTTGTCTATGATCTTTGCTATGTTTGATGCCTTGGATATTGGTTCTAGTGCTATGTTATTATTTGCTATGATTTATTTATTATAAAAATACATACTCTACCCTTAAAAACCATTTTTCCAGCATGGCTTACAATTCAATTATTAAGATGGATTTCATTAAAATACCCAAATTTTAACTGGCCATTACTATTATTATTGCTTACTATTATATATATCAGACTAAGAGAGAATGTTTAACATAACTCTGTTAACAGTGTAATGTAGTTAGAGAAGTAAAGAAAAAATAAATCTAGAAATTTGTATTATAAAACATCTCCAATACCTAACCAAATTAGTGAAAGTTGTCTTCCTTGCCCCTTGGTCATTTTTTAAAAATTTAAGTATTGGTTACACATATCAGTAATTCATTAATGCAAATCAGGTCTTGAGTTATTCATCTGGTATTGTGTAATAATCATTATGGCCATTCGTTGTGTACCTTTTGATGTCTTGACAGATTCCTAATACTGGGGATCTAATAAAGAAATAAGTATCCTTAACATGCAAAAATCAGTAGTGTAAGTGATTGTGGTTATATTCTGCTTGTTCTCCTAGATGCCCCTGGAAGGAATACAATGAAGTGCATTGTTTATTTAATTTAAAATAATTTATATTTTACAGAGGCTACTTTTTGCCAAACTCTTTGGTCATTTAACATCTGCTAGAAGAGCTCGAAAGTCAGAAGTCCCACACTTCCGACTAAAAAAAGTGCAGAATATTAAAATGTGGCTTTCCCTTCGTTCCTATCTAAAGGTTGGTTGGCATTTTTTTAAAAACATTTACAGTTTTAACTTAAATTAATGCTATACAACATGCTATTGATGCAATATGTTTAAACTCTCCCCATGCTTTTCTCACATACAGTACAGAATTAAAGGCCTGTATTTCTCAGTAGCGGGGGGGAAAGCCAAGAGGTCAAGAACTAAGAGAATTCAATCAGTCTTAATTTTAACAAGTCCTTCTTTGTATCAAGACAGCATTACACGTGGCTTCTTTTTTCATCATGCATTTAATGCTAATCAGTCCAAGATTCTGTATCTTAATTGCTTTTGTAGATTAACATCTTGCAGAAAGGAATCCAGTCTAAAGTCAAGAAATATTTACATGATGTCTTTTGAGCAAATCTGTGTTCTGTGCCTGCAGAAAACCAAAATTTTGGGTTTATTCTGAGATAATTACAGGGATGCTTGTTATCCTGATGGATTTGTAGGCTGAAGGGATGAAGGTATCATAACAGAATGATTCTGCCCTGATAGCAATTTACAAAGAATTCAGAAATTTTAAATAGATGTCCTATAGAATTATGCAAAACCTAATGATGATGATGATGGTAATAATAATGTATTAATAATAAAAGTATTTTTATTTAAGTAGTACACTTAAAAATTAACAGAAGATTGAATTTGTATATCAGAGGATCTACACATGATCAAATAGGCCTTTTTCAGATTATAATAGAATTGCAAGGCAAGTCTACAATTGTTGCTTGGTTAAATGTATAACCGTTCTTTTTGTTTTATTTTGTTTTCCTTTTTTTCTGTGTTACTTGGTTTCAGAAATCTTAAAGGATGGTTACACAGCTGAAATTCAGAATACTGTGATCAGGCTGTTTCTACACCTCTAGAGATAACACTGTTCAACTAGCATTTCTTCCCATTTATTCTTAATAATTGTTTTTAAGAAGCTATATTCTGAACCGTACAGCAAATAATGTAATATTTTGTATGCACAAGTTACCATATTGTTATATATTAACAATATATAATGTCACCTCATTTTCTAGGTTCTATGGTGGTCAGTCCATGCAATTCATTCACTATTTGTTTTTATTTCCAGCGACGAGGTCCTCAGCGTTCAGTGGACGTAATAGTTTCATCTGCTTTTTTGTTGACTATTTCTGTTGTATTTATATGCTGTGCACAGGTAGGAAATCAATGGGAATTTATTTCCTTCATTTTGAAATACCACAGTGAAGCAGCTTAGATAGGAATGTTTTTGCGTGCCTCCTCAGATGGACATCACAAGCAGAGGCTGGTCTAACAGCTACTGCATTTACTCAGGTGGTAGACCATAGAATGCCTCTCACTTTGCCTGGTTCACAACCACAAAGAAGTATGAAAAAGAGAAGGACTTTATCAATGGCTATTAAGAGTCCAGGTACAGGAAGAAATCTAGCTAGAATTAATTCAGCTGAAAATTTCTACTTGGTAGCATACCAAGAAATGGAATTTGTCCAAAAGCATGGTGACTCGTGGCTCATTTTTATAAACTTGCACAGATGAAATTAGCTGGGGAGCTCTTGTACTTCTGTAACACAATCATATGCATGTCTACTCAGAAGTAAATCACATTAAAATTGAATTGACTTATCCTTAGCAAAGTGAGGATTTCATAGAATTGCAACATAAGTCACTTATCCATTAGTTTCATTTTGTGAAAGATACTTCAATGCTTGGGATTCTTATGCAGAATTAATCCTTCTGTTTTGTTTTGTCTTATTTTAGCTACTACATGTACATGCAGTCTTCCTTGATTGCCATTATAATTGGGAACTGGTGATATGGTGCATTTCATTAACCCTCTTTCTTTTGAGATTTGTAACACTTGGATCTGAAACAAGTAAAAAATACAGCAATACATCAATACTACTTACGGAACAGGTGAGAAATATTCTGATGTTGTCTGAAAAGATTTATCTCAAAACGCTGTGTTACAATTACCTTTTTCTTTTGATATATTTTGCTGTTTTAGAATTTTATCTGTCAGCTGCCCAGAGTCACTATGGAGTCAGGTGGCCTCAAAATTGAATTGATTGATTGATTGATTGATTGATTGATAAATAAATAAATAAATAAATAAATAAATATTGAAACCATAATCATTTCAGAGTTCAGATTGAGAATATCTTTAAAGTGGATGTTTTTATTCTGTTCATGTTTAATTGATAAACATTAGATTTTTGTGGAATATTCAATATTGTATAACTAATGTATCTATTGAGCAGTGTTACTTTTTGAAATATTTTTTTTGATTTTTCAAATAGATCTTTTAACATCAATTCTAAGTATTTATATCCATATTCAGTATTATTTACAATATTTTTATTTCTTATTCTTCATAAGAATTAAACCTATTTTGGAAATTCAGAGGTATTCAAAGGCATTGGGGAAATATTAAAAGCTTATAGCTGAGACATTATTGATGATACTTAATATTTTGGTGTAAGAAAAATCCAAGAACAGATCTTGCTTGAATGTTAATGTTTAACGTTAATATTTACAACTATTTTCTTTGCTAATTATTCTTGGTGTTTGTAGTCTTTATTTACCAAACCAGTAATATAGAGAATCACCATCTTCTCAAACAGGGTTGTTTTCATATACAGAATCCTACCTCATTTATGGAATTGTATAGTAGCCCAGATGGCATCTACCTTAATGTTTCTTCTGAATTTTTCTTTCCCCAACAATAGCTGCACAATTTCTTGAGTGGTAGCATTCTGGATCTATCTGGAAGGATCAAGGAAGTCTGTATTTATGTTTGCTCATAAATATAAAACTTCATAACATAGATACATGGATTTATGTTAACCCTTGAGTCACTCAGAAAACAGACTAAACTGCAATTCTGTCATAGTAGCTACTTCTGGGTAGATACGCAAAGGATTTCACAGATCATTTCAAAAAGCACCTTCTGCTATATGAATCTCCTCAAACTTTGCCCTTCATTTGAGGCTGCAGCAAGTTGGAAAAAGTGAGAGTACTGTGATTTTGGCACTCTGTCCTTGGAATTCTCTCCCTTGGAATAGTAGTACCTTATAAGTACCAAAGGAAGACTTTAAAACATTTCTTAAGCATCTCAGCACACTGTCTTTTATTTAATCTTTTTACCATTCTTCACAGAAAATAGTTGATAGGTCTTTCTTAATTTAAATGTTAATTTAATTTAGTTTGTAAATTATACATTGCTCTGAGAATCTTAGGTTGAAGGGTGGCTTATGGATTTATTATATAAATAAACATTTTCAAATAATTTGATATCATTGTCTAAAAAATGTGCTACTTGAGATGAATGTTTGTTTTAAAAAAGAACTTTTTCTCCCCCTTGGGTTAGATAAACTTGTACTTGAAAATGGAAAAGAAGCCGAACAAGAAAGAAGAACTAACATTGGTAAACAATGTTTTGAAACTTGCTACAAAATTATTAAAGGTAAGCATAGAAATGGAAATTATTTTGCATACTTAAAAATAGATTGACCTTGCTTAATAAAGTTAAATAATAACTTGCTTGTTGTTTGTATTCTGCCAGTTCGGATTTAATGATTAAAAAAAAACTTAAATTCTGCCATTGCTATTGCAGAAAGTGCCAAAGTGTACCTTAGCAAAAATCAAAATCCATCACAATCAGTGAAAAAGAATAAATATATACAGTGATAAAAAGCTAGTTTAGACTTCATTCCCTCCATACCAGAACAGGGCTACTTGGCTTGCCTCTGAAATAAATTAAACTTAGTACAGTGAAATCATGTTTTAGTGAATCTTGACACAATAGACTTTGCCTGTAATGGACCAATTTCCATGCCAAAGTATGTAAGTTGTGTAATAGTATCATTATGCAAATGATACAAATTGCCACAATGATGTACTTTTGCATTTAACAGGCGTTTATGAATAACAGACACCCTCAATTAGGCTGTTACAAAAAGGTTTCACTGTGGGTTTTTTTAAAAGCACATAGGAGTTTGGGCAGCTCTTGAATATGTATGCTTGAAGACTAATAATATGCAAAAGTTCATAAATAGGAGGAATAAGTCTCCAGATCTCCCCCCCACCCCAACCGGTCTTTGGTGGTTTTCAAACTGTGTTTCAACTAAATTATAAATAATGGTAACTCATAGTCATGTGTATTCACATTCTGTATCAATTCAGTGTGCTTAATAGTTGTTTGTATTTTGTCCCTTTTCCATTTTGAGACAGAATGGAGTCAGCAAGTTTTTTTCAAATAATTTTATTAAAAGTTTTGAATAAAGCAATAAAAGATAATACAGACTAAAAGAAAAAAAGAAAGACAAGAAATGTAAAAAAAAATTAAAAATATATATAAAAAAGAAAAGCCCTCCCCCACTAAGAAGATAACTCCCCAGCCTCATCATGGCAAGTGTAAACAGTACCCTAATGTCCACCTCCTCTTAGTTAAACAATATAAACCCTTTGTCTCATAACCCATAACCCTTAACAATAGGCAAAGCAAATAAGTAAGGTCTTCTTCAATCCAGTTACCAGCAAAAGATCCAAACAAAGCTCTAAGATTTTAACATTAATTAACATATATAAAGCTCAACATTCCACATCTCGCCTCTTAACCAAAACAAAATCCCATTTAAAAGTCATTAAGTGGTTCCAATATCCTAATATAAACAAAAAACCAAACAAATGCAAGTTTAACATGATAAAAAGAGACCATTTCTCCTTTACAAAAGACAAGCTCCAATACATAACATTCCAAATAACAACTTATCCCATTCAAATACACATTCCATATCTCCACTCTTAACTATAGGCACATCTACATTTCACAAATATAAAGTAATCCCAGTATCCTAATATAGACAAAAAATTAAGTTTAACATAACAAAGATAAATAATTTCTCCATCAAAAAAAAATTCTCCAAACTTCCTTACTTTGAATAAAAAGAAACAGTTAAATGTAAAGCCAATTTAAGTACTATAAAATTAGGATTACATAGAATAACTATAGAGTAAAAAGCTTTTACATTGTATTCAAAGTAGGCAAATCCAGCACACCATATTTTCTAATTAATATATCAATAAATCCAAAAAGAACCACCCAGAATTTCAGTGTATCCCATTTTATCCCTGATCAAATCAACTGACTTTGTAGTCTTTTTACCTTCTATACAGGGCAGTCTTTCTCTGTAATTCATTCAGATGATTGTTGATCCTTGTTACAAATTTCTTTAGCACTTTAAACAGTCTCTTTTGTAATTCCAACAAAGAGAAATTATTCCAATTGTTCTCTGGGATTATCATTTTTATTTCCTTGATTTTTAGAACCTCATCCAGTTTTCTCTCTGTGTCTGGTGACAGTTTCTTATTCAAAGTCTCTATATTTTCCTCAAATAAATTTTGCTGCATATCTCATTCTGTAATATCTTCATTTGGGAGCAAACTGTTCTCAAGAAGACACAACATAGCTGACATTTTATGACGCAGGTCTCTACACAGTTTTTCAAAGATGTCTCTAAACACCATTGTAAATTGATTATTTTATACCTCCAGTCTCATAAAACAATTTCTCTTTTCCGCAAGCATACTTTTATTTATTTTTTAAATAGTTTCAAAATCTTAATATTCAAAGTCCAAAACGCCAACGTTTTCTGAGCCCTTAAAACTTTCTGTGGCCAAAACCTTGTCTTATTTTTGCTGTTGATTTTAAGTTCTTAAAGATTATAAAGATAGATGTTCATATTCTTATTACTGAGGATTGAAAGCACTCACTCACTTGGTGTTCCCAGCCTTGTCATTCCAAAGGTGTCTAACTTTTTAAAATCTGTTAATAGGCAATTTTCGAAACTAGTTAGCAAGGGAAGTACATGAACGTAGTGTCCTTTGAAGGGCTCAGTTTGCAGCTGGAGCAAATATGGCAAATTCCCCATCTTCTGCTTTCCCCATCACCACCACCCAAGAATGCAGTCTTGAGGTCTCTTTGTGAGGAAAAGGCACAACTGTAAGGAGAAACTGCTTGGGCAATCTCGTGTCTCTCTCTTTAATCCAGAGAGGATCAAAGGGAGCCGATCTGCTTTGGCTCCCTTGTAAAATGCTGCAAATGTCAGATCTGCTTGTCAGTGGAGCTGTCTTAAGTCTGCCATCTTCCCTTGGAAGCCTGAGTCAGCAAGTATTTATGGGCAACTCTCTGTTCTTTCCTTGGGGCTCCCCTTTTTTTTATAAGTGTAAATAATCTTCTAGATGGGGCAGCTATTTTGTAGGGGCAGTTACTTTCTCTGTCCCCAAGCCACTGCATTCCATTCACTTTTCACCGGTTTATTGGACCTTCCCCTCCTTTCTTAATTAGTCAACAGTCTGTACCATTGACTTCTGATGCTGATATATTTGGGAGCCCCTCAGTGTTCTGCAGTTTCAAGATCTGGAGTTGGCACCGACTCTTGAAGAATAGTACTGGTTCTTTTTTCTTCTGAACTTGTAAGGTTATTTTGGCCTCCATTCCTTGACCACATAAAGATTTTAACAGAAAGCAATGATCAAGAGATTTACTGTCTACATCATATTACACTGAGCTCAGACTCCTGCTTTTCTTCATATATACCTGCTTTATGAAATGTGCCTTAGAGGACTGTAGAAGCAACTTTTTTGTTTCCTAACTACAGAGATATAGATCAGTTCTTTCTAAAGCATCAGTTCAGAGAATGACTAATATTTAAATGTTGTTTAAACAGTATTTCTTCCCTTTAGATGATTTATATTTCTTCCATTTATATTACGTAAATATATTTCTTCTTCCCAGGAACTGGACAGTCCCTTCAGATTATATGGATTAACAATGAATCCTCTGCTCTATAATATAACACAAGTTGTTATTCTATCTGCTGTTTCGGGTGTTATCAGTGATTTGCTTGGATTTAACCTAAAGGTAGCTTTTGCAATTTTATCTTTAATTTATCGTAGGTTTTTTTTTCCTTTTTAAAGGTAATAGTGACTTAATTTATAAATGTTGAAAAGTGCATATTATTTTAAAAGTATTGATATATTCCAGTCACAAGCACTTGTTCTTTTCTGAGCTATATGAAAATATGTAGGCAATCATTGTATTATGTTATGAGCTTTCTTGAATTTCAGTCCTAAATATTTGTATTAATGTGTTTGCCTGGACCCATAGAATAGTATTCCAGAGCACTGGTATACCGTAATGGGTTATGATATTGAACTGGTTCAGACTCAAGTAAGCTTCAACTTGAATAGTGATCTGCAGTAACAGGAGCTTTAAGTGAACGTTGTTATCTGCATTGTTTGAAACTGTATTAGCTAATCATCTTGGCTGATTTAAATGATTTATCAGATTTCAGTGGAAACGCTTTGTGACAAACCTGTCATTGTTTAAATGGTAGTTTTGAAAAAAACATTTTTCTCGGTATAATTGTGTGCTTAGATATTTTAGTGAAATGGTATTTATTCCTAATCTCGCTTGCTCACGGCCACTCACGCCTTAATCACCTCCCGATTGGATTCCTGCAATGTGCTTTATATGGGGCTGCCTTGAAGACCATCCAGAAGCTGCAACTGGTCTAGAATGCAGTGGCACATGCAGTCCTAGGTGCCCCAGAGTTCACTTGAGTTACACCACTGTTGTGTGAGCTGCACTGGCTCCCAGTTGCTTTTTGGGTGCAATTCAAGTTGCTGGTTATCACCTTTAAAGCCCTACAGGGCCAGGTTATTTGCAAGTCTGCCTCTCCCAAGTATATCTGCCCATCGCATTAGGTCAGACAGGGTGGGCACACTCTAGTTCCCTTCCCTTAAGTGCTGTTATCTGATGGGACTTGGAGGCATGTCTTCTCCGTAGTGCCCTAACCCTTTGGAATAGCCTCCCACGCTTTTAGCCTTCCAGAAGGCCACGAAGACCTGACTCTTCCCCCAATGGGCTAGGATGGGGATTGAGTCATGTGGTTAATAATTTGGTTGGTCTGGCACCTGGTGGGAAGGGTTGTTCTGTTTTTCCCTTGTTTTTATTGGTTGTCGTGAACAGCCAAGAATCGCTGTGTGAAATAGGCAGTCCTATAAATTATTTAAATAAATAAGTAATCTACATAGACAAGCTTGCATGCAGGGGAAACTTCTGTCTTGTCAGCCCTTAATAATGCCTGGAAACATTCACTTTCTGTCTTTTGGAAAAAAGAGAGGGAGCCAGAAACTGTGAAATGGAATCATGACAGTATTACACAAGAGCAGAAGAGGACAAATAAAAGGGAATAGGAGGTAGAATTGGTGAGAAAAGCTTTAGAAAGTGTGGCTCCGGAAAAAAGAATGAGGTGAAAGAAAATGAGAAATACGCCATGCCTAAATAAAATTGTACCTGTAAATCCTTCTCTTTATTTGTAAACGTTGAGGAGCGTATGATCCTTGCAAAGTTTCTATCTTATTGAAAAAGGTTCCCACCTCTGATGCCGGAGGAGGACAAGTACAAGATGTTGTCCAAAAAAAAAATGTTCAGATTGGAATGATTATAAACCTTTTGTTTTCTACTATTTTTAATTTCAGCTTTGGAAGATCAAATCCTGACCCTTTTCCAACAGAAGATGCCCATGTTGTTCTGAAGAAGAGGACAGATTCATTAAGGTGCCTCTGGGCAGTCACCAATACTGTATTTCAGACATTACAATCTCTTCACGGACATCCTTTGAAAAAACTGAAGTGTTTACAACTGACTGTCTAGTGCAATCTTGATATTTATTTTACTGTTTCAATTTTTGTAAACTTTATTTTAGCTGACAGTGTGTTTTGTTTTGGATCATCAATATGCTTTGGTTACTGAAATGTTAAAAAATGGAGATCCCAATACTCAAGATCCTGGTAATTAGTCATCTTAAATAAGTCAAATTTGCTTTATGGATTTGTGAAAGATGAAGCTCTTCTAACTTCAGAAGTTATTGTTACAACAAAGTCATGCTGAAGTCACTTTACTGAATAAGTATTACAAAGTGTTTAGAACATTTTATACCATCCCTGGGGTGGGGTGGGGGGGAGGGCATCAGAGCACCAGCATATTGTTGAATACAGTAGAAAATTACATTTACTGTAATGACAATGCATTATGCCAGGGAGCTAATAGAGACGTATAAAAATACAAAAGCAAAAATTCAAGAGCCAGCAGCTTTCTTACTGAAGTGATTCCAGGATCCACACTGAACTGTTGTTTAAACATTACTGAATCTTAATAAGGTATTACCTAGCAGGTCAACAAGTGCTCTTTCACGACATTTTTAGCAGAGCAATAATTGTAAGCTGTTACTACACTGTAAGATATTTTGATAAAAATTAGCTGTAGTATTTATTTGAAACGATGAGTTGTTTACACAGCTCTCTGCCGCTCAGTATGTGCACTTTCACTGTTATTTTAATAACGATCTTTATATATACTAAGCAAAATATATTATGGTGCACTGTGGTGCAATAATATTGCCTTTGCAATTGGGTATAAAAATGTGTATGCTCAAGATGAATACTTTCCCATAGTACACTATAGTATATGTGACTTATACCACACATAGACTTTAAAGTGAACATCTTAATAAGGTATATGTTTTAAATTATAAGATAAAACTCCAATTTTTAACCCTATTCCTAGTCCTGTTTATAAGCAATTGCTGATCATTTCAGTGAACATCTTCCCAGACAAAAAAATTCCTGAATTCCTGAAAAAAAATCCAACATTCCTGATTTGCCTCTTTGTTCTGGAGGACGTTATGCTGAACTTCCAGCATACTTTGGAATGGACGTATATAAGGATCAGGCTGTCTGACTGTGATCTGAAAGCACAGATAGAAGAAGGTTCTAATCCTTATTTTCAAATACATGTCCGTAAGATTGCTGTCTAAATTTATTTCTGGTTTCTGGCTCAAGGCAGAGCCATATGAAATCTGACTGGATTTCTGTAATCTTCTAAAGCTATGTATAGGTTTATATGTATAGACAGTATTAGTCAATGTTGCCTTTAGTAGTAATATTAGTAACTGATGGTTAGTTATGCAGTGAATGGGGGTGATGCCTGTCATTGAGTTACCTTGATCTAATATGCACTGCTGTGATACATGGAGGGCATAGAAAATTCTAGCTGTGTGCCCGCAGACATCTCTGGGATTGTTCCATTTAGTTGAGCGGTCAATACTGCACGCACAAAAATTACCTATAACAAGTTGCCGCTCTGTTAGGTGAGTGCGATAACCCATATGCTCAGTGAAGTCACTGGAGGACACGCTGGGTTTCAGGTGAAATTGATGGCATCTGCATAAATAAGAGCCTGTCAGAGTTGGGCGGCTATAACAAATTTGAATAAATAAATAAATTATTGGATTTACATGTTAGATTGATTCCCCATTTGGAGAAAAAGGTTCAGTTGATTTTTTTAAAAATAAGCTGAAAATAATGACTTTATAAATTTCAATTTGCTTATATCATCAAATTGTAATCAAGTATGTGAAAAGGTACCATTTTTATTATGTTGAATATACCTAGAAGATTCTGCATTACTCAGTTCATGCACTGAGCTTAGAGTTTTAAAATGTTTATTTTAAATATAAACAAGAGAAAATAATGTAGCTGAGAAGAAAGAAGGCTTAGACATTAACCTCTTGTCCAGAATTATTATGATTGATTTTAACTTGTGTGGTATAAGATATTTTTATATATAAAGCGACACAAACATTTTGTATTTTATTTGTTGCTGTACTAATGACCAAAGTACATTCTGTTGTGTTATTCTCTGTTCACCCTTTCCCTAAAAAAATGTGTTACTAGAGCTTTAAGAACATGCTATGTCTAATTTATCATGTAAAAACTTTGGCCGTGTGACCTTTCTTCTTCATCTATGTTGTCTGATGTTCAGGTTAAGTTTAGGAATTAAGTCTATTTTATATTTTTTTTTCCAAAATACGGTACAGACCTACGTAAAGCTAAATTTTACGAAGAATATATTTTAAGAAGAAAAAATAAAGAACAGTATGAGTTGATGATGTGTTGATGATGAGTTGCCTAGTGGCAAGAAACCATTTTCCATTTCTCCATTCTGCCTTACCATTTTTTTTAAAAAAAGAGTAGACATTTTCATAATGAAGCATTTTTGGTTTTTTCGGTATCTGAATTTTGAGTCTGATCTTATTTGAAGGGAGCAGTTTGAGTTCAAGGAAGAAGTTTGATTGTAAGCATGCTATACCTTTGCAACTAGCAGTATGCTAGATGGTTGCACTAATTATGGTAGCATTGACAAACTTAAACATGAGGGCTAGCAAATAGGAAAAAGTACCTCACAATAATGACAGATTTAAATTGTGCCATTGGTCTATCAAACACACAATTGAAATGCTAAGCATCTTTTACATCCCTTATTTGAAAAACAGAGGTAAAGAGAATGTGGCAGTTCTTGTTCAACTGTTGTTGACGTATGTTTGTAACAGGCAGCGTGCTCAAGCTTGGAATAAAACCTGTGGCTGATGGTATAACTCTTAAGTATTCCTGTTTATTTTTCCTATCATGGTCTTTCTCACATCAGGGGTCTGGACTACTACTGAAGCTCGGTATTTCTTCAGATAGGTTTGGATCTTCCTTGTTCTCTGTTAATTGCCTTTAAAAGTCTTAGCACAGATGACCACTCTGGGAGTTGGTGTTATCATTGTTATTCTTGAAAATGGCGGTTCTTGCATCCTCCAGATTCTCTACAACAATATATTTGAGCAATTAATACAAATATTCCCGATAAACCAGAGAACTACGTATTGTGCTGTTACTACACAGAATTTAGAAATAGATTGCAATAAAGAGAAATTACAGTATGAATTGCAGAAATAGATTGAAATATTATCAACTGTTTAGGTACATAAACATTTTTCCATTTATTTCAGCTATTTATAATAATGTATAATCCTAGGAAATGTCTAAGCTTTGTTCTCATATATCTAATGGGAGAATAGGGATGGGTTAGTGTATTTTGGGAACACCAAAAAAGTTAATTGACACAGTCTACTAACTCCTTGGGGTGTGAAATTTAACCCAGAACAGACCCAGTCATGCACAGGTTACACTAATTCCACCTGTCACTTTTTCTCTGTGATGCAGCTAAGCCCATTCAATATGTCTTTTACCTATCTGTTCCTTCACGGTAAAGTGTTGAAGAGAAAAAACAGCAGTAAAATTAGCCATACTGTGAATTACAACAGTATGTGTCAGTCAGTAATTGTGATTAGATTGTCAACCTGTTGATTTCCTGCTTGCATAATGTACAATAATGGAAACTGTTTAGAATAATGGGGTAATGTCTCAGATGTTACTCCTGAATTCCTCAAAAGGTGAGAGAGTAATTTCTGGAAGTCCCCCAAAAATTAAAATAGAAATTCAGATCCTTCTAGGAGGATTTTCTATCTCATTAAGTAAAGATAGAATATTTACTTTCAGGTCTGTTGACAAATAAATGCTAATCTTCCTCTTGTTCCATCCCATCTGAGCAACATAAGCTGCTGCTTTGGTTTGTTTAGTTCATGGTTGTCATTATGCTCCTTCCTTCCTTAGACATCATTATTTACTAAACACTCTCAGAAGGGCTTTTTAGAGCTCCCATTTTATTCCTGGCTTCCCTTTGCTCTCCTCCTTTCTTCCCATCATTTTCTCATATATAAGGCACTTTTTTTTCCTTATATGTATAAGGCGTTTTTTCCCCCTCTCATATATAAGATAGACTGCTTCTTTTATTCTTTTTGTGAAATGCCACATACCTGAATGGTGCTACGTATGTAATAACTGCATTCAAGACACTTATTATTTCTGGGAATTGAAACTATCTGCACTGAAAGGGGGGTTGTGAGTATTAGAACCAGAACAAAACTTTCATAATGCTCCTCTATGGAGGACAGAATTCTCACCCACTCTCCCTCCACCCACAAAAAAAGTTAAAAGTCACAGCGAAATCCAGGCTAGACGGAGGGTGCAATTTGCAGAGAAAACGATCCGTAGGCTGTATTTTAATTGGATTGTTTTTGAAGCTGGCCTGAAAATGGCCTTTTAGGCCTATGCTTCCTCTGTTCAAGTTCTGAAAGAGGAACTTGAGATCCTGGACCATGGACTGCATGGAACCTCCATTTTGTAGCCTCAGGGAACCTTCAGAATAGGTTCTCCACTGAATCCCTTTTGTGAAGATGCTCAGACTAAATAGTCCAACCATACTAGGAAATTGACTGCAATATAGCTAACCAAGCCAGCTAGTTCTTAAGGTGTCCTATCTTTGTAAGGCTCCATTGCCATGACAAAACAAAATCACAGTCTGGGTTTGACTGGCTCACTTGAAGAGACTTTCATCAAACTAAATGGGGCAGATGAGCATCCATCAACAAAATCTGCTTCCTCGAGTGTAATTTTGTTTTAGCTTGTAATATATATCTTTTAAACTATAAACCATTTTGGGATTTTTATGAAGAGGTGTGATGTTCCACATCCTGGTGTCTTCTGGGGTAGAGATTACAAGGGGTTCCTGAGTTGGTGCCTTTCCAGTCGTGAAAGAGAAAGGGGCTGGGCTGAAGGGTAATGTAGCTCTTCAAGGCATTGACGTACTGGGGAGGGGAGGGGGGAACCTCCAGGATTCAATCACTGGCCCAAGTAATCAGCCAGGTCCCTAATTTGCTGATCTGCAGAGTAATCTCTTAGCTAATTTTGTTTATTCACTTAGACCTAAAAAAGCAGACCAGTAAAGCAGAACGATTAGAAGTATGCTTGATGTTAACTTTCTAATTAAAAAGTGGCACTCGAGGGGCAATTAAGCAAGAGTACCAAATGTTTTCTGCACTGTAGGTTGCTTGTTTGGGCACAAGCCAGGCGATTCTGAATCCCTTAATTCTACTGTAGGCCATCCATCCAGTTAGACCTCTGGTAATCATAAATCCAATTCTGGTAGGAGGTTCTTTTTTTGAGAGGATAGGCAGAATGCATCATTACCCAGTTCTACGTCAGGGCTCCTAGATCTGGGCTGCACCATCCTGGATGACCATGAGTGATCATCAGTAGAGTGTTCTCTATCACTTCACTGCCATCTAGCAGTCTGCGGGAGTTTTGCAATTCAGATGTAGTAGTTTTTCCATGTGGATGCTAAAGCAAAAAGAATGTTGCAGTCCAACGTTTAAAAAAAATAATATTGGTGAGCGTGCCTCACTGAGCTGTGTGCACAAAATAAGCTACAGTATCCAGGCAACTCCAATTCTGCGATGTTATGCTCTACATACAGTGAACATAGGCATACCTCATCTTAGCTCTGCTAGGGTTACTCATTTGTATAATCTGCTCTTGAAAAATGGTTCAGTAGCTCTTCTATATTAGCTCACAATTGCCAAAATGAGCTACCTGAAGAGAAAGCCAGGTGTGTTGGGCCTGCATCACCCAGAAGTCCTTGCCAGATGAGAGCGCTGGGAGTTGCGGTCTCAACACATCTGGAAGAAGCCAAATTGGCGGGAAGGCTGCCATAGGCTATAGTGTCTCCCTCCCCCAATACTGGTTGGCACTATTTTCATGTCCCCGTTCCTAGTAGCAGTTAGATCTTGAAGCTTTTTTCATGAGAGACATATCCTTGACTCCTATGCAGAAATTCTGTATTAATGCACACTGATGGAAATGCACATTTTTCTCCACGGAGTCACTCAAAGTGATGTGTAAATAATAAAAATGGGATGACAGCTGAAGGTAACACACTGCTTGGCATAATCCTATTTATCTATTTAGAAGTACATCCCACTGAATTTAATAGCATTTATTCCCAGGTAAATGGGCTTAAGATTCCAACCCCTTTAACATTTTATAATTTTTTTTTGTATAGTTGTGAGACTAGACTGAAGCTAACATAACTAAAGATGAAGCAGCCGTGTAAGCAGAGAGGATGAAAATCCAGGAATCTTGTCCAGATCCTTTTGAGGAAGTAGATAAGAAGGAAACTGTCAGGTTCAGCCCAAAGAATTCCAAGAGACAGTGC